ACTAGAGATAGGCATTAGGTACCATCTCAGGCTAAATTTAATAATTATAATTAAATTAATAGAGATGGTGCCTAATGCCTGCCTGTAGTGACAAATTAGGCTATTATTTTTAATTAATTTCCACATAATTTAATCCAGCAGTCATTTGGCATATTAAGGATGTGGCTCTTGTCAAGATAGGAGTCATACACTGCCTATTTCCAATACGCAGTGTATGATTCCTATTGTGATAAGGTTTGGTCATCCTTGGTATATTATTTAAAAAGAATGAAGAATTATTCAATTTATTATATGAAGGTCATTCTAAAAGAAAAGAACATTTTGATCTGACTAGCCGCACAGTTCTCCCATCACCCCCCACTGCCACGTCATGGACCTTCCCATTTTTTTGTGCCAGTCTGATGCTAACAGCAAGCTGCTACAATCATTTACTGTTTATAGTGTAACTTTGAAATGTGTGACAAAATTAAAGATCCCGCCAAGTAGTGTAATAGACTTTTTGAATGTGAAAAAACTCTGCCCTATTGAAATTTACAGACAGATAACCAAGGTTTATGGTAATGTGATGAATGAAGCTTCAGTTCGAAAATGGTGCATCATGTTTAATGGCTGGCAAACGAATATTCATGATGATGAATGCTCGGGCCAACCTTCAGTTGTGACTGATGAACTCAAATGAAGGATTGAGGAAAAAATCCAACAAGATAGATATTTCACTACAGATGGACTCAGTTCATTCTTTCCTGAAATTTCAAGAACAGTTCTTTATGGGTGATTTGGACTACAGAAAAGTGTGTGCCAGATGGGTTCCTCAACTTTTGACAGATGAACACAAACAAAACTGGATGGGAGCTGCACTGACTTTTCTCAGGCGGTACAACAAGTATGGCAAGGAGTTTTTGAACCATATTGTTATTGGTGATGAGATTTGGACTTTGCATAAAACTCCAGAAACAAAGCACCAGTCAATGGAATGGCATGAATCCAGATCCCCAACAAGATCAAAAAAGCCAAACAAATTCTGAGCATCAAAAAGGTTATGGCTACAATGTTTTGACATCAAAAGTGTGTCCTACTCATCGACTACATGCCTAGAGGGGAGACCATAAATGCAGTGGCCTATTGTCAGACCCTTCACTGACTATGTCGCACCATTCATAACAAATGTGGGGATTGTTGTCCACAGGAATTTGTGCTTCTTCAGGATAATGCACATCTGCATGCTGCTGCATTGATGAAGAACTTGCTTCAGCAGTTTAAGTGGGAAGTTTTTAAACATCCTTCTTAAAGCCTGGACTTGGCTCCAAGTTATTACCATCATTTCCCAAAATTGAAGGATTTTTTGGGCTGGGAATCACTAGGGAAGTGATAATGAACGGTTCAACAACTTGGAAATAGGATCATTAAAATATTTTTTTATAAATTTACCTCATTGTCCAATTTTTCGATGTTTTCCTCCTCATTAATATCACCCATTTTCTTTTCTAAATTATCTTCATCATCATTGTCATCTTCATTATTATCAGAACTATTGTCAGTTTTACTTGGATCATGGAGTTTACCTTCAAAATCCTCTGACATTTCTACACCATGTTCCTCCTCCTAACAACAAGTTTTAAAAACTGATTTAAATGCTTATAACAAGTTTTATAAACTGTTATAACAAGTTTTATAAACTGATTTAAATGCATTTAAAGATAAATTGTAATAAGCCTACTTAATAATTTTGTTTTGCAAATATACTTGAAATTAAATAAATTTAAATACTTTTTGTTAACCCTGCGTAAAGCGCGCCAAAGATTGACGCACAGTTGTGCGCGCGGGGTGCTATATAACCCTCGTGTTCAAAATTCAATTTTTCAAAACTCATAGTTTTTTTCGCGATTTTTTCATTTTGGATGTTTGTGGGCATGTGTTTTTGATGTATTAGTGAAAAAAACTACTTCAAATATATCGATTTTATTTATTCGTGACGAAAAAACAGAAAGTCCCCGTTTTTAGAAATTTTTCAAAAAAAATTGGTTGACTTCAAGAGTGTATTTTACAAACTGTAAACAAGTCTGATGCTATCTAAGCTGTCAATCGTCTTCCTGCATGTGTTTTCTAACTATTACAACAATTAAATTTTTTGTACGAAGCCCCGGGCCAAAAATATCTCAATATTTCCAAAAAAACACCATGTGAAATCACACAGCAAGTAGAGGTAAAAATGGAGATTATTGGCAGATAACATCTATAGTAAACTTCTTTTGCACTGTAATTGGTTAATTTATATGTCTGTTATTAGATCGACCTATAAAAACAATTGCTGGAAATATTCCCGCGAAATGCCACGCCCCCGAAGGCCACCACA